TAGCAAATGGCTGCAATATAACAAAGAGTGAAAAATTTAAGGGGGTCTGAATACTTTCCGTACCCACTGTATATATATATATATAAAACAATCTTACTGTCCCAAAACCTCTGAACAGCAGTGTATAAAAAATTGAGTCATATTTGTAGAATTCTCTCAAAATCTATAGGCAAGTCTTTGTCTTCATTAGCAAGCAGCCATAAAAGGCAGAAAGGCTTCTAGCGTAATTCATCACTATCCTTAGTGCAGCAATTTACAGGTTTTATCTAATGGAGAGTTTCACATGTCTACCGTGTAATATGCTGGTAGTCATAAAATATTCAAGAGCCCAAATTTATGGTTAGCATCAAGAATGAGCACTTCTGCGCTTTAATTATGGACTGAGAGGTGACAAGGCTACTAAAATGTTAGTTGTGTTCCCATATTTCTAGTCTCGACAGACAACTTTCAAAGACTTTCAGAGGGCTATCATGGATGTAGACCCTATTACTGAAGTCACTATTGCCTTTTTCCCTGCTGTGTCCAGGTGGCCGTGTACCTGAGCATCCCCACACAAAGCCCAGAGGCTGTGGGGGGTGAGAGTGAAACACTGACTGTGGAGAGGAACAAGGCTGAGGGCAATGTTCATCAGTCAGGGCTGGCTGCTCCGCTCTCTTCACTGGCTGCTCTAATTCAGCACAGACACACATTGGGACCCTGGGCCACCACAGCTGCCTCATCTATCACTCTCAAGTGGCCCAGCGATGCTCAGCAAGCAAATTCCACCACATTAACTTTTTCAGACTCCGAGGACTACTGTACGAGTTCTGTATGAGAGCATTTATATAAGCTTCATGCCTTCAGCTGAGTATTAGCGGTGATGGAAAACAAGTTCAACACAAGTAAAACAACACAATATCACATGATATTGCTCTTATACAATAGTCCTATGAATATTTACATAAAGGTCAACGACATCAAATACTCTTCAAAAGTTTGTGGTTGGTAAGATTCTTACAATTTTTTGAAAGAAGTCTTCTATGCTCACCAAGGCTGCATTTATTTGATCAAAAATACAGTAAAAAAAGTAATATTGTTACAATATCAAATAAGTGTTTTCTATTTTAATATATTTTAAAATGTAATTTATTTTTGTGATGGCAAAGCAGAATTTTCAGCTGCCATTTCTTCAGTCATTAGAGTCATCATTAATCATTCCAATAAGCTGATTTGGTGCTCAAGAAACATTTCTTATTATTATCAATGTTGAAAACAGTTCTGCTTAATTTTTTTGTGGAAACTGTGATCTTTTTTTTATTAAGATTTTGTGATTAATTCATTTGAAATAGAATTTTAAACGGCTTTGTTGTCACTGTCAACTTTTAAATGCCCATGACAAAGAAAACCCCATTCTTTGCATTCATGTTGGTCCATCAAGTAAAAGTACGTTTTCCTAACACCTTGAATACACCTTCTTAACCATTATTTTCAAAAAAGTTTAGTATTTTTTTTACAAATACAAATAATTATTAATTAAAAATGTCATTACATTTTTGGGGAGCTGAATCACATGACATTTAACAACTCGTAAAAATATTTATTTTTAAAGAGCAATTTTTAAAAGCATGCTCATCATAGAAAAGGTGTACTCAAGTTATTGCATATGATTTACATTGTAATCAGTGCTGTCAAAATTAGCGCGTTAACGCATGCGATTAATGCTTTCAGTTTAACAGTGTTAAAAATATTTAATGCAATTAACACAAGGGCGGAGCTAGGGTTGGCCACCCCACTCACTTGCTTCTGTCTCTTTTTTTTTCTAGACAAGAATTGCGTTTATTTAGACGCAGCGTGAAAAAAAGGTACAGGTGACGAGGGAGCTTCAGTAGAATGCAGTCAGATGAGATGTTGTCAGGCCATATGTCAGTAAAAATTAATTGTCCTGTCCTGACAGCCATTATACTGTGATCATAGCACGTGCTCTTCAATTGTACGCACAAATGTGCCAGCGCATTGAATATCATTCGTCAGCTAAGTCATGAAATTACCAAAAAAGATGATTAAAGCTGCCTTAAAACTGTGCATGCATGTAAGTATTTGTTATATATGAGTCACATTTAAGAACATGTCTCTGAAATGCAGTGGTTTTCAAAACTGTCCTGGAGCCCAGCACTGTCTCCCTCATCTACTGTAACACCCCCGTTTCAACTCGTCAGCCCATTAGTAGAGACTTTAAGACCTGAAGTGGGTCAGAAAAGGTAAAGAGTTGTGAGAAAATACGATGCGTGTCAGATCCGCATCATGTTCAGCAGCGGCAGCTCTTATAATGTAATAGCAGTCAAAATAACCTAATAACCTGTTATGTCTATTAATCAAAGAACAAAAGAAAATGATTCATCTATGTTTAATTTAGAATTTAGTGTTTGATAACTTTATGGCTTAATGGTTTTAATGGGTTTATGTGAATGGCTATAGTCAATGGTTAAATATTAGGGGGAAAAATATTTCATAGAGACATCAGTAGTAGTATTGGTATCAGTGATACTGGCCTTCAGTCATAAAAAAAGATGCCACTAAACAAATATTAAATGTCTTTATGTTCTTTTTACATTAATTTGAAGATTGCGTGTGAAATTATTGAATTATAAAAGTATATTTAATTTAATGCTAGGTGGGATTAATCACAATTAATTTCAGAAAAAATGAGCGATTAATTAGTACATTTTTTTAAATTAATTGACAGCATTAATTGTAATATAATTTTGAATAAAATAGAAGCAGACAAAAAAGATCATGATGTCACTGATGCATAACACAAAAACAGAAACGGAAACTCACCGCGGTGAGAGAGATTGCCATTGGCACCTTGTATGCTGTTGCCGTGGGTGATGGTTGTAGATGTCTGTCTGTGATCTGCTGTCGTCTGGGTGGAGGTTGACTGTTTCCATGGTGATGTAGTGCTAGACTGAGTGGTCACTAGGGTTGAAGTGGCTGAGGTGTGTGTGATGGTGGAATGACGTGAGCTGGAATGAGTGGTTGTGGTGGGGCTGATGGTGGTTGTACTTGATACTGTAGCTATAGGTGTAGTTGTGGAGATTGTACTGGTTGTTGTAGCTGTATCGGTGTTTGTAGCTGGAGTGGTGGTTGTAGGAGTCACAGTAGTAGAAGGTTCTGGTGTCGTAATAGTGGTTGTACTTGCAGAAGTTGTCGTTTTGGGTTTGACTACAACAAACAAAACAGATATATGGAGATATATGGAGACATGTGCTTCCCAGAACTATGATTGAAGTTGAAACTTCCTGTAATCTCTTCAGTTTGCCTAAAAGACAACATTTAACTCCCAAACATGAATCAGGTGACATTTGTTTCTTTAAAGTGTGTAGTATGAGTAAGCTTGATCTAGGGCTCTGTATTTTGTTACCTGTCACACAGCGGCGCATGTCTGGGCCCAGTTCCATGCTGTCAGGACAGGCACACGTGTACTTGGGCGAGTGGTCTGTGATCTGAGGAGCTCTGAGGCACAGGTACTCACAGCCTCCATTGGGCAAACTCCCCATGTTGCATGTATCTGGAGCTATAGGGAAAAACACATTTTAATTCAGATGAGTTAGCCTCTGGTTCGTTGCATAGTAGTATATATGAGATCATACATTAAAATTTGAACACAGCAGCTGAACTATTAAGATGCATTCACATTGACAGAGACCTAACACTGGAGGTCATTCATTTTTAATTAAAGCTGTACCACATGAGGTTTGGAAATAAAAGGTCCAGCATTTTTATTCAGCCTAATTCACCTCAAAATTGGTTTCTATGCAGTTGTCCATGGGTATAAAGTGCATAAGATATATTAACTAGTCAAGAAGACACTTTCATATAAATTAACTGAAACAAATTAATTTTTATAATAAATATCCCAACAATCATTCATCACTTTAATTTATGTAGTTTGAGTATGACAAATTATATACATTTAAATATACGCTACCGTTTAAAAGTTTGGTGTCAATTTAATTTATGTAGTTTGAGTATGACAAATTATATACATTTAAATATACGCGTTTAAAAGTTTGGTGTCAATTAGATTTTTTGATTACTTTTATTCAGCAAGGATACATTAAATTGATCAAAAGTGACCGAAAATACATTTATAATGTCTCAAAAAATGTCTATTTCATATAAAAGCTTTTAATTTTTTACTTTCTGAAAAAAAAATGCATAAATTTTTAACATTTAAAATAATAAGAAATGTTACTTGAGCAGCAAATCAGCATATTAGAATGAGTTCTGAAGGATCATGTGACACTGAAGACTGGAGTAATGGCTTCTGAAAATTCAGCTTTACCATCACATGAATGACTAACATTATAAAATATATTAAAATAGAAAACAGGTATTTTAAGTTGTAATAATATTTCACAATATTACTGTTTTTACTGTATTTTTTTTTTAAACAATTGCAGTCTTGGTGAGCATTAGATACTTTTTTCAAAAACTGCAAATTAAGACAAGATTAACAACGGTCAGTAATCATGCTTGTCTACTGTGATGTGTATAGCATCTTACAGTATATGCAAAAATGCATCAGAAAAAATTCTTTATTTGGCTTGAGGAATTGTTATATTTGTACTTAAACATAATAGATTTAATACATATGTGTTATGACCAGAAACTAGAATCATTCTTTTGATGTTATTATCAGTTGAACAATACAGCAACGTACAGCAATTGAAATCTGTATGAAAGTTTGTTTAGCTCTACAAACACTACTCAGAAAGTTTTTTTTTACTGAATAATATTTTATGTGTAGCTCTTTTTTGCACATTCTCATAAAATCATGTTTTGCAGGGATGCATAACTGATTAATATTTCACTCAGGGGCACTTGAGATACAAAAAGCGGTTGGATTTCATTCTCATCATTTCTCGTTCAGCATAAGTGTTTTCCTGCTTTCGTTTGCATTTTCAAAGCAACATGTTTAATTCTTTGATTTAGATTTAAATAGCACTTCTCATTTATTAATGTGAGGAGGCTGTAAATTGGTTCTTCTGCTGGCATGCTGCACGTGGTCTATTTGTGATAAAAGGATGAAAACAAAGAATCAAAATCTGCACACATGCACGCACACTGCTTCTTTCATTTTCTCTGCCTGTCTCCAGAATAACAATTCACCATAAATATGCTATTCAATAACAGGACCGCTATTACTGGGGAAAAAACTGAGAGTCAGCAAAGATTTTCCTCTCATTATTATAACAATGCTGAAGAGGTGACACTGTGAAAATAATACTGTTCAAGCATAGTTTCTATTAGCTCCTGAAAGGCAGAACTATTAAACAGGCATTTTTTTCTTTGCTGCTGTACCTTTAAGAAATGTATGCTTCACATGCGAAATGAACAACAAAGTTGTTGTTTTTTTTAGTTTCACTAAATGGTCTTTTTGGTTTGGGGAGGAAGTTGAGTTCTCAGTGTTTTTACAGCAAATCAAAGTCTTTTATCTCAAAAGATCAGGAACAATTTGATTCCTCATGATATGAGTCCTCTAATGCATTATAACATCTATCACTGGCTGTTGAGCTCAATAGATAAAACAGACTGAAAGACACATTACTTTTCAAAAAGTTTGAGGTCAGTAACATTTTTAAGAAATGAATTCTTTTATTCAGCAAGGACACATTAAATTGATCAAAAGGCACCGTAATTACACTACATTGTTACACAAGATTTCTATTTCAAATATTGTTCTTTTGAACTCGTATTATGGTTTCCACAAAAATGTTAAGAATTTTTTTTTAAAATAAATATTTGTTGAAAAATATTTTTCAACAAATACAGCTTTGCCATCACTGGAATAAATGTATAAACGCATTAAAATAGTATATAAATGTATAAATATATTAAAATAGTAGTTATTTTAAATTGCAATAATATTTCATTATAATTTCAGTCTTTCCTGTATTTTTGTTTTGATTAAATAAATGCAGCTATGGTGAGCATAAGACTTTTGAATGTTGCTGTAGGAGAAAAAAAAACAGAAAAGAAAATCCTCTTTATTGGAAAAACTACCCTAATTTTAAATTCACACTAATGAAAATGTAGTTAAGTAAACAACTACATTTAACTAGTTACTGTCTGACAATGGCCAGATTAGTCAGACACATCTAAAGTGATGTAAAGTGTATTTCACTTATTTGTCACCTTGAGGCTGCCGGAGCTCGTGGAACACCACCACATCCAGAGGGTTGTTGAGATGTTGAGCCAGCATCGCCACATCATGCCCTGTCAGCCGGTTTACACTGTAGATGGCCTCAGCCTCCAAGTCTGTCCAGTAAACCCGGTCCTGTAGAAACATACAGAATGTGAATTCTGCACAAGCAGGAGCTAACGCATTCCTGTGGTTCAACAATTACAACATAGCACTAGCAGTGAACTAATACATGAACTGATAATATGTATATGTATATCTGGAATAGAAGTTGCTTTGTATAAAAGAGTGGAAACAAGAATAAATGCAAACTGTAACAAGTGAAGTTAGTTTTATGCCCAGTTTACACTATACTGTGCATAAGTTTGGGGTCCGTAACATTAACAATAATGTTTTTGAAAGTAGTCTCTAATGCTCACCAAGACTGCATTTATTTGATCAAAAACACAGTAAACAGTAATACTGTGCGATACAGTTATAATTTAAATGAATTTTTTAAAACAATTTTAATATATTTTCAAATGTAATTTATTCTTGTGACAGCTAAAGTTTCAGCAGCCATTATTACTGCAGTCTTCAGATTCTACAGAAATTCTACAGAAATCATTCTGATTTGGTGCTCAAGTAACATTTCTTATTATTGTCAATGTTGGAAACAGTTACTGTGGAAACTGATACAATTTATAGGAATTTTGACAATAGAAAGCTGAAAAGAACAGCATTTATTTGAAATAGAATTTTTTTTGTAACAATGTAAAAGTATTTACTGCCAGTTTTGATCAATTTAATGCAACCTTGCTGAATAAGGGATATATTACTTCTTTAGCAAAAAATCTTACTGACCCCAAACGGTAGTATAAAGAATGAATAAGAAGTTAAATACATCTTTATATATATTTTTATAATTTAGTCACATCTTTTCTTACCTAAGGCATCAAGTGACTACTATTCACATTGTTCATGGGTATTTTATTGTAAATCAGGATACCAATACACATGACACAAAAGATACTTGGATAGAAAAAAAAGCAAACCAACCAGGTATTATTCGGTAGGGCATGTTTTTTTTTTTTTTCTATGTATGATGCAAGACACCAAAAAAGGAAAGAAAAGAGAGGAAAATGACAATGAAGATACAGGCTTCTGTGTCTTTTGGACCACAAAGGTTTTTCATCAGACTAATTAAAGCTTGCAGCTCTATCTCTCCTTTGTATCTTACACCTAGATGAGCCTGAAAGCACACGCTTCACTGTCTGACAATACCACTTTCAACATTCTCCTCGCTTCTCCGTCTGCCTCCCTCCTCTGATCAGTCCTTATCAGCCGCTACAGAAATATTGCAAATGTGCATGGTGAGATGGTCTGTTACTATGACAACCTAGGATTCATCTTCTTTTCAAACGGATACGGAAATGGATGAGGAAGTTCGGGAGGGGATGTTTTTGGGGTAACAAAAGAAAATTACAAGGGGGAGGGCCAAAAAAAAAGATCAAAGCACCAAGCATGCCCAAGTGGGCGGCTGGCTTCGAGTTTTAGAGGATGTTTACAGAGCCGTGCTTTTTTGGAAAGGTCAGGCTGCTGTATCCCAGTGGTGCTCCTGCTGGTGGCGGCTGATCAGTAGGACTCCTTAACCTGCACTAGACAGCATTCAAATTCTGCCGCATTGCAGCTCTCATCTAACGCACGGGCCACGAAGGCACCATATCTGATATAGATAACTGCTTTAATCTATGACACAAAAGGCTGGCTTCTAACATCCAGGTCTGAAATTTGTACTCCTTGAGCGAGGGGAGCGTCTTTATTAAAACCTTTCATCAAAGTCTTCGCTTCATTTGGAAAGGAGCAACTATCCCAGTGGAACTGAATTGGTCTTGACATTTTCAATGCTTCCCACTAACCAATAAAATAATGTGAAAGCTGATGTGGAGATATTGGTCTGTTATGAGACAGGGCAATGTAAAGGTCACACAGCGTCTGAAAAGGTGACAGGAAAATGGAGTAAATTTCTAATATGTAATTTGAGGTCTGCTGTGTTGGAAGCCAGTATGTGGTCTTCTTTAAGACACTAAAATAATTCCCTTAGTTCACTAAAGCCCTCTGCCATAGCACATTTATTTACAGTAAAAACTGTAATGTTGTGAAATATCATTACAATTCAAAATAACTGTTTTATATTTTAATATACTTTAAAATTTAATTTATTCTTGTGATGGCAAAGCTGAATTTTCAGCATCCATTACTCCAGTCTTCAGTGTCACATGATCCTTCAGAAATCATTCTAATATGCAGATTTAATGCTTAATAAACATTTCGTATTATTAGAAATTTTGAAAACAGTTGTGCTGCTTAATATTTTGTGAATGTTTGATCATCGTACAGCACTTTGGATCAATTTACATTGTGTTTAAATGTGCTTTATAAATAAATGTTGTTGTTGTTGTTGTCCTTGCTGAATAAAATTAATAATTTCTATTAACTATTAAAAAATCTTACTGATCCTAAATAATAAATAATACTATTCAATGAAATTATTATATTAATATTATTATCTCATTAACTTTCGGTTCTTCACATAAAGCTACTGTATGTCCCCTGAAGACGTGGAATATGGGGCACAAGTTGTACTGACGACTTGCATGGTGTTTCACAGAAAAATAATGAATGCCATATGGGTTTGTAATGACATAAAGGTGAATAAATGATTGGTTGGGGGGGGGACTAGAAAAAAGTGAAATAGGCATTTAGTAACTTCAATTTTCATAACTTAATGCTTTTTTGTTTAATTTTAAGCTGTCAACTGTCAAAAGGAAATGTGTACTTGAAGAAATTTTTTAAAATTTTAGTTGGGAGGAATGAGAAATTATGCAATTAAAAATAATGAACCAAAATAATGAGCTTACTGGAATTGACTCTGGCACCAAAGACTGCACAAATGTTTCATACAGAAAGATTTGTATGCTCCTGTAAGCACATCTACAAAACACCCCAAAAGTTAGAGGGCAGTTTTTGGCTACAGTTGTCTCTTACTGTAACTTCAACAGCCAAGTGGAGAACTTTAGGAATACTTTAGGACCAGCCTCAAGGATACTGCAGCAAAGTAGCGGTTCATTTCACAAGTGCCCTCGACAAAAGTAAAAGAATGAAGAAAACACACTGTTTCCTTTTCTCTAGGGTTTGGCCCCGGGGTGCCCTCTTACTGAGCTGGCTCATCAACTGGCCTGATGAAGGGCATTAGGTGATCTATTGTTTGGGCTGGGTCCTGCCTTCAGGCGCTGTAGAAGCTGCCAAAGTAAAAAAGGCTTTTTAATTTGGTCTGTGTCTTTGGCTGGTGCCAGCCACACAAAGCCATACATCTCTTGGCAAGCGTCACTGTCTCACAGTGAGACCCCTGTTCTCCAACTACACCCTGTGAGCAGAAACATGTTTATGTGTGCATTTTGAAGCCAAACTGAGCGTAGAAGCATCTTAAGGCCTGTTTTTGCCAATGGAGCTCCATCTGTGCCTGCATGAATGAGTACCTCAGTAAATTATTTGATCAATTTGTTTACCTCAAAAAGAGTCAGGGCAAAGGGATGTCCGAGATGATCCATGGAGGACAGCAAAACTCTACGGTTGTCTCCATTCAGGTCCACACTGGAGATGAGATGGAGCTTGGAATCCACCCAGTAGAGTCGTCTACTAGACAGGTCTGGAAGAGGAAAGAACATTTAATGGAACATATAAGTAGCATGTCAATAATACAACAAATGCTTTTAATTTAACATGAGTGGTCAAAGGAAACGTAGAATAGTGGGTAGTACCTGAAGGCATAATTCATATTTCAGTTAATATTCGATGATTTTTCATTATAAAAGTTTTTTTGTTTCTAAATTCTCAATTCCACCTTTTTTTGTCAATATCTTTTTTTTCTATCCATCTACCATAAATGCTTTTTCAAATGGCTTTCATGTTAAGAGAGCCAGAGAAATGATGGCGATATTGACAGCGTTGCTTGAGCAATTCCATTTAGTTTTTCCCAAACTGACAGGTGATTGATGAGAAACAATGAAGGTGAATGATTCAAAGCCCTGTTGGCCACAGGAGGCTGCTCTTCATTATTAACACTCTTTCTTCTCCTTCTGCCTCACTCTTACTGGGTTTGTTTGGTCTTTCTCAATCCTAATGTTTTTCTTCTTTCTCCTCTAGCATTTGGGTTGATGTCTTTGTCTCTTGCAATGATGGCAAACGCAGCTCTCTCGTGTCTTGCTTTTTGGTATGATATGCTTTGTTTTGCTCTCTGCTGTTTCTCTTTTATCTTTTGTTGTCTTTTCTGCTATTCTCCAGTGTGTGTTTCTCTATTTTGACTATATTTGAAGATGTGAATACGCTTGATTTGAATGGAAAAAAACTGAATTGCAAAACTTTCAAATGGTGTTTTACCGAGTGCAATCCCATTGGGCCACTCAATCCTCTCTGAAACCAGAACCTGCCGATCTACCCCGTTCATTCCGGCTTTCTCAATCTTCGCCTGCGTTCCCCAATCTGACCAGTACATGAACCTGAGGGGGTCAAAACAAACAAAATGTTCATGATCAGAATCATGGAGAGATCAGACCAGTGGTTCTCAACCTTTTTGACTCCACTGTCAATATTTGAGGGCACCATGATTTTTCCAGATTGTTATTTACTGGATAAGGATTAAGAATAAGGGATTTAAAATATTTTTTTTTACACAATTTCAACCCAATAAAATATTTCCAAGCAAGGCACAACCACAAAAATGTATATTCATCATAAAAATGCCCATGGAGTTATACGATTTCATTAATTTACATGACCTTTCCAGGTCTAGAAATCACACTTCTAAAATTAAGCTACCTCATAAATCCAGAAACTCTGGTTATTTATAGAGAAAAAACATGTGGAATTAAAATAAGAAATATCTGGATTTTTAGCTTATTTTAATACTTGCTTTGTCTTAATTTGAATTCATTTTAAATTGTCTTAAGTCTCCCTTGGATGTTTGTGGTTCTTGGAACAACCACAAAAATTTATATTCATCATAAAAATGCCCATGGAGTTATACGATTTCATTAATTTACATGACCTTTCCAGGTCTAGAAATCACACTTCTAAAATTAAGCTACCTCATAAATCCAGAAACTTTTTATAGAGAAAAAAAATGTGGAATTAAAATAAGAAATATCTGGATTTTTAGATTATTTTAATACTTGCTTTGTCTTAATTTGAATTCATTTTAAATTGTCTTAAGTCTCCCTTGGAAGTTTGTGGTTCTTGGAAGTCCATTTTTTCCATGGAATACTGCGGAATAGATTTAAACCTGATAAAATGTGTAAAACTGAGGTTTAACATTCTTATTGGTAGTATTTAAATATTTTTCAAAAATACCTATTAAACATAGGGGCAGGCGATATATGAAATTTTGTCAATGACGGTATTTCAATTCTGCAAAAATCTGCGGAGCTTTTAGACGAGTTCCCTTTGTTGGGTCAGCAAAAGCTTCATGTTACCAAATAAACGAGATGCAGTTAAGTGGAAAATTAGGGAGCTCCAATGGCCTTGAAACATTTACTCTCATCACCTGTCAAAACTCAAGATGAATAGGTGAGAGTATGATCATTAAAAAGAGTCATCTAACTCCGTCCCTATAAGAGTGAAGTGGGCACTTTACCCACAGGCAACAATTAGTTGGTATTCCAACCAGCTTGAGACTCATTTGCATGTTTTTCATGCTCTTCTACTTCTGTAATATGGTGAAAAGACCCCTGAGGGGAAAGATTCATTACGATGAACGGCAGTAAAAGAAAATGACACAGACGAAGTGAAGGAACCTTTGACAAGGCTTTCAAAAATCTTGGTGTGTTGACACAGATCATGCAACGTACACCATATTTACATGATTCATTACTATTTAATGGGCTGAAAAAAATTGGCGGGAGGAGGCTTAATGTTTTCTTTAGGGTGTTGAGAACATGCACATTTTCAAATCAGCTGATTTGTACATTAAAAATATTATATCGTTACCCTTGTCTTGGGTCAACGGCGATGGCACGCGGTTCCCCAAGCTCTGTGTCGATCAACACCTTCCTCTTCTTGCCATCGCCAGTCGCCACAGAGATAGTTTTGTGTCCAGAGTCGGTCCAGTAGATGTTCTTATGGACCCAGTCCATTGCTAAGCCCTCTGGGGAATGTAGCGCAGTGTCTATGAGCGTGAACTGTTGAGAAGCATCGCTGGCTTTGCTGATGTACGCGCTGAAGAGGAACAAACACACTGTTAATCTACATCCAAAGCATTTAAGCAGATGTATTTATATATTCATAAACAATCACAAGATACTAGATGCATCTGCCAGACTCATGGTGAATAAGCACGACATAAATAGCTGACACTCCCAGCTGTTGCCACCAAAGTGAAGCAAGATCTGCATTTTTCTCAAAGAACAATTGTAGGATGAAATGACTGTGACTTTTCCTGTCTCTGAAAGTTACAGTGACTTACAGTGAATCCAGTTGGATTGCCCTTTGAAGCATGGTGAAATCTGACATGACTGTGACTGATCTTATGATCTAGCATTGATGAGAAAGTGCCATTATCACTTTAGTGTTACCTTGGTTATTCGACAAAAGGGATTCCGTTTGAATACGCCATATACATGTGCAATGCATACAATAACTTTAATGAGTAGCTAATGCCAAAAGTGTTGCCACAAACATTAATGCAAACACAAACAAAAATCTAGTAACATTTTGTGTTTTTGGCTTCTCTCCACCCAGGTGTTTCTTACTTGTCCTTAACAATACTAACAAATTAGCATATTTTCATGAAAACACAATATGGAAATAAAAGTTAACATTGTGTCTGTGATCTTTGTATATACACTACCATTTGGGGTCAGTAAAAAAAAACAAAAAAAGATATTAATACTTTTATTCATAAATGATACATTAAATTGATTAAAAATGACTGTAAAACATTTATAATGTCTATTTCAAATAAATGCTGTTCTTTTCTATTCATCAAAGAATGAACAAAAAATGTATCACGGTTACAAAAATATTAAGCAGCACAACTGTTTTCAACATTGATAACAATAAGAAATGTTTCTTGAATAACAAATCAACAAATTAGAATGATTTCTGAAGGATCATGTGACACTGAAGACTAGAGTAATGGCTAAAGAAAATATAGAAAAAATATATCTAAATATAAAATATTTCACATAGTAATTTTTCACAATTTTACTGTTTTTACCGTTTACTGTATTTTTGATAAAATAAATGCAGCTGTGGTGAGCATACCAAGACTTCTTTAAAAAAAAAAAACATCAGTTGTGTAACAGTAGTGTATTTTTATTTAACTGACCATGCATTATTAAAGATTTATTAATACAAAACAGTTGTCCATTAATCCTGTTCAAATAACTTTTTAACCAAATAATGAGAAAAAATTTTTTGTTAGCTTATTGTTTGCCATTTTATCTTTGAGTTAAGTAAGGGATCAGTAAGGGATAATTTTTTTAATCCTGTCAACTTTTATCATATCGGTAGAAAATTGAAAACTGGTTATTGGCAGAATACCAGCATTAAAATCTTGTAGATTTATCCAACATCATTTTTAACATTTTGAAACATTTACTTTCATTCTACTAAATATTTGTTTTTGATTTCAAACGGGAAAAGGCACACGTTTCATAGAATGACCCACCTGTCATTGACAGTGAGGAGGTGGTTTCTGTTATAACCTGATCATTTTCCATTTGCAGTCACCTACTGCCTTTAACAGATGCTGCTTCAACAACCATCAAAATGGGCCCATCACCCTTTATAAGACTGCAGGACTTTAAGACACTCTTTTCAGAGTGGATCTTAAGTGAATCACAAGGACAGAGGCAATAGCAGTCAGGGAACATTTCTCTCGTGCTCTGACTAAGAGCTCTATTAATAGGAACAGGTCTCCTGGCTCCTTTCAAACACTGATGATTCGCAAATGAGACAAAACAAAAATAAAAAAATAAAGAGCTCTGCACTTAAACAATAGTGACTAAACATGATACAATGGTCAATATAATGTGACGTTTATATATTCATTATACTGATAGTAATACAAGATATATATATATATATATATATATAAAATGCCACATCACAATGGAATATATACATTTGGCTTATAAATATGATACACAAAAGGCTTAGCAATATATATATATATATATATATATATATATATAAATCGCTACAGTCAGTTATGGACTAAATTTATCAGCTACATGACATTAATAAGAGTACTGTAACATTTTAGCAAATATTTCAGTAAAAATGCTGAACAATGTGACGCAATCACTGCCAATCACATATTTCACTGATTTAATTTCACTGTAGGCAGGGCTACTCAGAACAACGCAACAAAAATAATAATATATAATAATATTGACAAAACTGTTGCTTATCACTTGCTGCATCATGCCTGGTTTACGACACAGTGTAAGTTAAAGTGAGTCAAACATCTATCAAAGCCAAAACCGCTGGGTGTTTTGCGTTCACTCCAGGATCAAACAATGATGTATTTGATCAACAAGAAAGAGCTTGTGTTCCCTCTGACATCTTAATTACAGCAGAAGCCTTGCATCACATTAACCCAAAATGATGTTAATTGGAATTAATCAAAGCAATAAACACAACATTAATCTATTAACCCTTATGCTGAAAGAGTGGTTTTGAGCTCTCTTCTGCTGGAGAACCACTATGTAAACAAAACAACTTCTTACTGACAGCACCGGTCAGATCAATAACCACATGCCGGTTCCAAATGAACCTAAGTGAGGATTGGTTAATGGCCCCAACAATGGCCCTTAAAATTGATATGCCTCATTTGAAGTTTCAGCTGTCAACTGACATCTACACTGTTGCGTCTTCACCGTAACCATCAATTCATGCCACTCTCTCTGTCAGGGACCACATACATAATTTAAACTCCCTGCCGACAAGCAGAAGTATTTCCATTCTTCTGAGTGCTCTTCTGAGGGGTTTATAAAGTGATAATGAACTTTCGTACGTCGTTCTAACACAAGCCCTCCTGAGAGGAGTGGAGATGAGTAATGGGACGCATTATTGTGGGAGGTAAATTATGGGAAGCATATGGTGCGGTTGAAATGATTTAGAGACGGTCCTAGAGGCTGATGTGAATCAGAGTGATTCAGGAAGTGAGGTGGAGACCCGAGCATGACGGGCCAGCATGCACACTGGGACAGTAAAGGACAAACCCTGGTCAAGTTTTCCAGCTGCTGTTGTAGCACAGGCAGGCTGTGTGACAGGCTACTGGCTGACTGATAAGATGACTTTGTTAAACGGTCGGTAGTGCTTATTCAAGACCCCCCTAAGGAATTGAAATGTCCTTCCATGAGGACAAAAATTTCTGAGAAAAGTGTTTTGTTAGGCATGGAGTGACAGGGATAGGAAATTAAAGGAACGCTGCAATATAGTATTATCAGAAAAGCAGAATTTGACACAATATTCACAATCATTTAAAAGTCTCTTTGCATTTATTTGATCAAAATAAATGACAGAGTGAAATATTATTACACTTTAAAATGAAGGTTTTAATATATTTTAAAGTGTAATTTATTTCTATGATGTCAAAGCTGAATTTTCAGAAGCAATTACTTCAGTCTTTAGTGTCACACGATCCTTCAGAAATCATTCTAATGTGCTGATTTGGTACTCAAGAAACATTTCTTATTATTGTCAATGTTGAAAACATTTTTTTTCAGGATCCTTTGATCAATAGAAAGTTAAAAAGAACAGCATTTATCTGAAACAGAAATAATCTGTAACATTATCTGCTGTCAATTTTGTTATAGTGTACATTGCCATTCTTTATGTGTTATAAAAATATTATATATTCTAAATAATAACAAAATATGTAAATAAGTAAATAATAAATAATTTAATAAATAAATAAATTAATTAATTAATCTGAAAATGTGCTTTAAGAGTTTTTTTTTTTAATGTTTCTTTTACTTATTTCAAATCTACAATTTAGTGTGGTTTATGCTTAATACAAGAAGAACAAACAAAAGAGTTAACGAGATAGAAAAAATAAACCAAATTTAATTCAAGATATATTCTCTCAAAAGAAGTCTTATCAATTTTTTTTAACATGTTTCTTTCTCAAATAAGTTTATCTTGTTTTGAGGATGTTTATGTCAGTCTATCACCCCTAACACAACTCTGGTAGACCCAAGAAAAAGTCTGTGAAATGTGCATGGAAGTAATTTCCTTCGCAGCTCTCAATCCATGATGCTGGTCGCTGTGAGAACATTTCCAGTAAGTCTATGGCAGCTGTTCTCATTCATTTAAATGTCTGCTGAGAGGAGGCGGGAAGAGCTTCCCAAAAGAGGGTTTCAACATGGCACCTTCTCCTCCTACTGGAGCGTTGAACACTAATTGCAAATTACCCATTTTAATTAAAGATTAAACAGCTGTCAAGTTAGATAAATGGAACATGCCCTAATGATGTGTATACCTGAAGATCTTGCGATGGTAGAGGTCACACCAGTACATCTTGTTGGTGGTCACGTCCACATCTAGGGCCACGGCGTTCTTCAGGGTTGGCACTACCTGCGTATAGTCCTTCTTCAGCAGGTCAATGCGCCGGATTTCATGGCGGTTAGTAAACATAAGATATGGGCTCTTACCTATGAGGGGAACAGAAAAAGTTTCATCAGCTCACTTGTTATCTTGGGATCCTCCTAACAGATGACTGAACTGATAAACCAATCGATACTAGGCAATTTTGAGACAATCAACATCAGCAAAATCATTGAAAATAGGACACAGAAGACCAAATGAGATTTCTTTAACTTCTCAATTTTCAATTCACCTTGACAAACTGAGACTTTTGCCTATTAGAGAAAAAAGAGCCCAGAATTCTCACATGTATCTCCTTTTGTTTGAGAAGAGATCAAAATGTCAAGATCACATTTATAATAAATGTAAGATACCAAATTCTGCCAAGTCAAAAAAAGTAGACCTGACATAAAAAAAAGACAAATATAAACTTTTAGTGGCTCTTTCTGACCTGTATTGATGTTAATTATTACAATTACGCTATTATGCAAATTAAAATAATTCCAATTATAAAAAAAAAACTAAAAAACTCAAATGCTTCTCATACAATTGTAAAACTAAATTATCTGGACCATGCCATTCATGTTCATTTTATAGCTCTTTAGTCTTACTGTATTCTACCAATTGTTTAATTTGTCTATTTTTTTTCTCCTAAGGAATTTTTAGAATAAATCTCTGGGACAAAGTTGAGAATTAAATAAATTAGTGCTGAGAACTCAGCAAAATAGTTTCACTCCAAAATCTACCAACATACAACTGCACTTGTGTTGGATTCCACTGTTATCAGTGCATATACTGTATGTGCTACAGGGCAAAGGTAAAAACACTAAAAATCAAATGATTAAAATGCTCCCAGAGGAGAAGAATATTTTATCATTTAAATTATTACACTTGCCGGAATGCAAATGTTGTGAGAAAGCTAATGAGAGCTGGCACTTCAAGTATCGCAGTAAAAAAAAAAACAGCAGTCTTCTCAGATTGGTAAACACGGTAGGGCATATTATATTTAAACAAGCATAGTGGCAGATTTGCACTCATACTATTTATTAATTAGAAAGGCACACTTATGGAAAGCAAAAATATAACCATATGACTCGCACAAGTGCACCCAGTTGTGTGCGTAAAATCACTGACTGAAATTTTTTATTGCTTATTTCATTTGCAGAGTAAACACAAGTGTGTGTGTGTGTTTCTAAAATGTAAACTGCAGCATTAGTTTACTCATGAATGCTGTGTGAGTCCGCAGTGCACCTGCAGACCATGATTCAGGTTTCCAGGTTATTGACATGTGGCCAAAGTGGTTCTGAGAGTTTCCAGGATATTACCCTGCACTGTGGTGTGTATGCAGATGAGCGTGTGTGTGTGTGTGCTGTTGGGGAGCTTAGTCACTGTGATTTGGTGCTCAGTCATGCCAACATAGAATATCACTGACCCTGTTAGTTTATCCTCTATGTAGCAGCAAGGGAGGCTCCCCCTCCCCCCAAACCTACTTGAAATGGGTGTAATTCATTTTCATCCTGTCACCTGCTCGCGTCATCAAAAAACTACGTTCCTGAGGAAAAATCTGTTCTCCCAACCCTCATTGTACCCTTCCTGTGCCCTCTATTATACTTTCATTCAGCTTTTCATCTCTAATAAGCTCACTGCATCCAGATATATCATGATTCGTATTACTGTAGAGGATATAATGTGATTTGGGTACTTCTTTTGCTCCTTTTACTCTCTAAGGTATGTTGACAGTGACAGTGATTTACAAGCAAAAAGCAACGAGAAGTTTTTTTTCTCTTTTTCTTTTTACAATTAAAGTTATAAAAAAAAAGTGAAAGCTAATTTTTATTAATTCATGCAACACGCAGTATAAAACAGTAAAGTCAATAAATCTTCACCTTTATGCAAATGACCTTGATATAATGCAGCAACTACCAATGGGAGTGCAGCGAGTGGAATTAGGAATGTGTACTAGCTACACACAGCACAGAGACCCGATCTGGTTATTTATGTCATAAGTGGTTAGATGGTTGATTACCTGGACTACAATTTGGTGAGGTCATGGTTGATTTGGTAGACTATCTTGGTCAACTTGGTTGGAGCTGGTAGACTATTATGACTAAGCTGGTGGGAACACATGTTCTGGATTCCAAAACTAACTTGCCCACCTTGGTATAATATATGATATGATATGATATGATATATGATATGATGTATGATATGATATGATATGAGATGAGATATATGGGGTGCATTTATTTGATCAAAATACATTAAAAACAGTACTATTGTGAAATATTATTACAATTGAAAATAATTGTCTTCTATTTGAATATATATATATATATATATACACATACATTTAATTAATTCCTCTAATGGCAAAGCTGAATTTTCTGCAGCCATTACACTAGCCTTGTCACACGATTCTCTAGAAAACATTGAAATATCAAGATAAAATTCTTCTTATTATCAATGTTAAAATATTCAGGATACTTTGATAAACAGAAATGTCAAAATAACAGCATTTATATGAAATATAATTTTTTTGTAACATTATATAATGTCTTTACGGTCACTTTCAATCAAATTAATGTGTCCTTGCTGAATTAAAGAGTTAACCTAAAAAAAATACTGACCTCAAACTTTTGAACAGTAATTGAAGTAGTAAAGAATTACACTAACTAAATGACTGATTTCAACCACTCGCCAAACCAGACAGAGGCATCTCAGACGATACGCAAACATTAGATTCACATATACCTTGATGTTTTTCTCTCTATTTAAAACCTGAGAAGAGTTTTGGGGAGTTTCAGGTTTGGGACAAATTCACAGAGAATTTTTTTAACTGTCCTATCAGCAAAAGCTTCCCTGACAAGACTGTATGATGCACAGGGCACCATACAGACTTTATTAAAGAATTTGCTGATTTTATATCCGAGTTAGTGCTGGCTGTAGATAAAGTTTGTAGTGACTCTATCTTGTCCAAGAAAGAATGTGAAACAAATTGGTTATATAATTTTCATTTTTAAATATTTTAAAATATAATTTAAATAGATTTTTCACACTTTAAGCAATATCGTATCACATATCGAATATCGCATTTTTTAACAAGGTATCGCACATCGCATTTTTTTTCAATATCGCACAGCCCTACTTTATGTACTACTTTACTTCCAAGATCAATACTTTTAGAGATAAAATTGTAACCATGCAGCCGTCAGCTACAGTAACGCATCAGATAGTGTGCAATAGATCCCCTGAGGAACAATTCCACTCATTCTCTACTATAGGAGAAGAAGAAAGCCCTGAATGGTTTAGCACCTCAGTATTTGAACGAGCTCTTATTGCATTATAGTCCTCCACATCCACTGCGTTCTCAAAACTCGATAATACCTAGAATATCATATATGGATGAGGACTGTTTCCTGAACCAGTAGCCTAATGCGTCTGTCGCACAAAGGCTGTTTCTATAAAGTTGGGCAGTTCCAACTTTGCAAGGACAGTCTGGCGCTTCTGACTCACAGCCTGTAAGTACGTTTTTTATATTTAAACAATTTGCCAATGATGATTCAAACGCGAGTTTTGAGCAGTGTAGAGTAGGCTTGTTGTTTGTTGTTTCTCCGATCACAAATGACTGAGCCTGGTTTCTCCTGTTTTTTTTTCTCCATTCTGTCACCGATGGAGTTTTGGTTCCTCTGGCTTGCTTAGTTGGGGACACTTCATTTCCAGCGATATCGTTGACTTGATTGCAAATTATTGCAAAGATACTATTTAAACTGAACTGAGCTGGATGATGATATCACTGAATTCAATGATGTACTGCCTTTAACTGAAAATTGAGTGTTTACTATTATCATTTTGCATTATTGACACAATATTTTCCTAATTAATGCTGTACAGTTGCTTTGACACAATCTGTATTGTTAAAAGCGCTATATAAATAATGGTGACTTGACTTGACACAGATGCCTTATGGCCAAGTGTTATAAACAAATAAAAGACAAAAAGCGCAAAAAGAGGGAATAGTGCAGGGGGTGAAGGAGAGGGAGACAGTGAGCGATCATAATGAGCAGCAGGTGCTGTGTGGTCAGATGTCACTGTGAGAGTGCAGGAACAGCACTCAGGTTTGGCAGTGATGTAGGGGATGGGGATGGGGATGAGATCTCATGTCTCTGTTATTCTCTTCCTCCCTGCCTCTCTCATTCCCTCACCACCCATCTCTCACTCTTTCATACTTGATCTGGTCTAAGCCAAATACCGCTTTTGCTGAGGCGCTGAGCAGTGCTTGTGAGTTGGACAGGTGGATGGAAAGCCCGTCCAGATTGTGTTGGAGAAAAAGCATTTCCTGCTGCACTTCAGAAAGTCCTCATGGACCACTGTATCGTCAGCAAATATTTTCATTTTCAACAAGAGTCAGGATTCAATCATTCTTACCCATCTGCTGGAATTATCAATCTTAGAAAGCGAGGGTGAGAAAGAGAGAAAAATAAACAGAGAGTGAGAGCGAGAGAGAGCAATGTCACTTCCTGCTTCAGCTGAGCTGCATTACATTTACATAAAGTAACATGCTGATCATCTTTGGTGTCATGACAAATACTTTTGAGAAACACATAAATCAGCACTTTCTCAGATGGCCATATGTGCTCTGAGCATCTTCATTCTGAAGGTGATACGGCGCTGACTAAAGGGCTTTTTTTAAGCTAAAGGCCATGAACTCTTAAACTGCCTTGATTCTGTATAACAAAGGACTTATAAAAACTTGTTATTCTAATCCTTAAAACATGCTGTGTCAAGAATAAAGTATATCATGTGACCTAACTCCATACATTACTTAATTTAGCATTTTTACCCAATTTATTGATTTTTCTGCCACTAGCTGTACCAAACAAAACTACAAAAATAACAAGTAAATGAGATTAGGTGGTTGCAAACAGTGAAGGAATTAAAAATTTTGTTGTTATTATTAACAAAAGTATAATATATTTTCACATTAATAATATTATTAAATTCTTATTATTATTAATATATGATTAACAATAACTATTAACATTATGCATACTGTGTGTACCTGTTATTT